TATAATAAAGAATATATATATATGTATATATGAATGTATAAACAATATACATAAAAAATATATATATATATATAAAAATATAAACACTATAATATTTGTATTATAATCGGGAGAACGTGTTTGGTCGCCTCAATGCTGCTGATTAGAATGCGCTCAGTGTGCATACAGTTAACACGAACGTTATTAGGGGGCTTGTGAAACGTGCACAACCTCTCTGACACGTCCGCAACATCTCTGAAACGTGCACGACGTCTCTGACACGTGCACAACATCTCTGAAACGTGCACAGCCTCTCTGACACGTGCACAACATCTCTGACACGTCCACAACATCTCTGAAACGTGCACGACCTCTCTGACACGTGCACAACATCTCTGAAACGTGCACAACATCTCTGACACGTGCACAACATCTCTGAAACGTGCACAACCTCTCTGACACGTGCACAACATCTCTGAAACGTGCACAACATCCCTGAAACGTGCACAACATCTCTGAAACGTGCACAACATCTCTGAAACGTGCACAACCTCTCTGACACGTGCACAACATCTCTGAAACGTGCACAACATCTCTGAAACGTGCACGACCTCTCTGACACGTGCACAACATCTCTGAAACGTGCACAACATCTCTGAAATGTGCACAACATCTCTGAAACGTGCACAACATCTCTGAAACGTGCACAACCTCTCTGACACGTGCACAACATCTCTGAAACGTGCACGACCTCTCTGACACGTGCACAACATCTCTGAAACGTGCACAACCTCTCTGACACGTGCACAACATCTCTGAAACGTGCACAACATCTCTGAAACGTGCACAACCTCTCTGACACGTGCACAACATCTCTGAAACGTGCACAACATCCCTGAAACGTGCACAACATCTCTGAAACGTGCACTACATTTCTGCAACGTGCACAACCTCTCTGACACGTGCACAACATCTCTGAAACGAGCACAACATCTCTGAAACATGCACATATAGAATACTTGAAAACACTGAGTAGGGGCCGGGGCGGTGAAACACGTTATAGCCAATATACAATACTATATGTTATCATATTACATATTATGTTTTATCTATGAATATAATTGATTGTAATTAAGCATATAATATACATTGATATACTGTATATAATGCAGCAATATGCAGTAATATTCTACAACATAGTATAACATGACATATTTTTCTTGGCTCCTCCAAACTAAGTAACTTGCCACGGCCTCAATCATTGTTCATCATCTACCGCGATAGACTTTTGATGGGAGGCCGTTGAAGGATCCCACCAGTCCCATCGTTACGGCAAACCCCAAGCAGTCCGCATCCCACCTTAAACTGGACTGATGCTTTCCTTGGTGCCCCAGTTGCGAGGAACTGGTGGAATTTCGACTGGTGGTTTAGAGGAACATGACGAAATCTGTTGTAGATTGTAAAGGAACAAGATGAAACAAGATGAAACAAACTACATTGCCTATATAAATTTGCCCCCTAGTTCATACATACCCAACATACCCATTGTATACCCATTGTATACCTATGACAGCAAGGGACCAACGATTGTTTTGGACAACGAGCCGAGCTCCGTCCGGATCATCCCACGGTAGTTTTTTGATCCCACGGATGTCAAGCGGAAAAAGACCTACCGTGTTTGATGGATTTGTAGATTTTCAAATTAACAAACATTAGAATTATATAGTTTAATCGGATTTAATCGGTATATTTCCAACTATTTCCAATATGTTAACATTCAGATATGAGGATTACAATATATTACAATGGATTTCCTGAAGCAATTCTTGGATTTGCTTCAGGGCCTCCAAGGAATTAAAGTAGAAGACAATTACCCCAATGGTGGATTTACCATTGGAAAACACAACAAATAAGCTTATGCAATCCCAATGTTATCAATCATCATTCATCAATGAAATTCCCATAGTATCATAGATTTGTGCTTAAAACCAAATTAAAACACCATGGTTGGATTCAGAACCAATGAACCATGATTTCTCAGCTCCAATTTACAAGTGAACACCATATAAAAATATATAAAACCCTTATAAAAGCATATAAAACACAAGAAAAATCACCATTTTACATATCGCTGAAGAGGGTGGAAATCGCTTCCAAGGATCTGCACCTTCCCACAGTTCATCATCTGCAGCCGCTGCAGTTCCAGGTTGGACCTGTCCGGGTCCGTTTTTACTGTGCCTGAACCGTTGGAACATACGTATTGGACATGCGGTTCTTTAAAGATGTTGGTACTGTATGACTTAGAAATTATAAAATCCTTAGAACATTCTGATTCTTGTTCTTTACCGTTTTATTCCGCTTAAACACTTTGTGTACCGGCTACAACATCCACGGCTTTCACCCAGCTTTCCTATGGAGGTTGGTCACATCTTGCGCCAAGATGCTTTGCAGCGTGCGGCAGACGGCACTGAGAGGTCTGAAAGCCACAGCGCCAGCATTCCACAGGATATTCCTCGGGCTGGGAACACATGAAGTAGATAGTAGTCATCACATAGTACCCTCTGGTAATTTAACATAGCTATTGAAAATCACCATTTATAGTGGATTTTCCCATTGTAAATGGTGATTTTCCATAGTTATGTTAGTTTACCAGAGGGTAGTCATTCAACAAAACACAAACAATTGGATCAACATGGATTTACCAGCAAATCTGTGGGATTGAATAAACCAAAATGTTGGAATTGATAGCTACAATGCCACAAGATTTTGTGGATAGCATTGAATCGCAAAGATCAGCAACAAGTTGGTTATTGTTTCTCCTTGGGGGTGGGTTCATCCAAGGACCATGACCACTGACCACTGATATGGAGGGTCACCGGCATCTTTGAAGGAAAGAGGCGAAAAATGTGAGCACCACTTGAGGAATAATCCCAACATTTTGTTCTTTCGATTGGTTTCGTCTATATTCAGATGAAAATGAGTCAAAACCAATATTATTACCACATTTGGGGGAATAACCATCCATTAACTAGCTATTCTAAGGTACCTACAGAACCAGGGTTTTGACTTATAACCAGATAGCCAAGCATCCTTAGCGACTTGGAAACCTGCTTCATCTTCTGTAAGCCCCTGCGCGGGCACTAGCTGAAGCTTGGCCCTAGCTCAAGAGAATGAGATGAAACCATTGTATGCCATTGTAAGATATGCCCTTCCAGTTCGTTGTTCGTTGGAATATCATTAGACTCATATAATGACATGTGGGGAATGTTTCACATTTTACATAACTAATACAATGACACGCGGGAAATGTTTCAAACAGGGCGTACTGACGGGTTTACAACATCACACGTGGCATCTGTATTTGGTCAACTAACAGAGCCTTAAAACAGCTGGGGGGAAACACATGATATTGATGATGCTGATGCTGATGCTGCTGATGATGATGATGATGATGACGATGATGATGATAGTAGATCCAAACAAAAAGGTAAAAGTCGGGCATGGTTTGTAGCTGTTGCTTCACCAACCATCTTCAAAACTGCCAATATAGGTTTGCCTGAAAATAGGGTACCCAATTTCATCATTCCATCCAATGGTTAATCGCAACTGTCTTCAGCAAGGTATAGGGTTTTTGCATCACTAAATCAGCTAAACAAATATCAAATATAGCCGAAGGAAGTTTAGAAGTCAAACTTCCGACAATATGGACAGATGAAAAGCAGAGCAGGGAAGAGGCAGAGAGAAGAGAGAGAGTAGAAGAGAGAAGATCAGAGAAGAGAAAGAGTCAGAAGAAAGCAGATGCAGATGCGCGAAAAGGTAGGAAAGTCGCGAAACATTGTGTTTTTCCAATGATTTTGGGCTCCGGAGGGTCGAAAAGCAGGCTCGCTAAAGCGGTGGGTGCGGAGCCAGCTGGCCAGAGGAGAGATGAAAAATTGCACGCCGTTGTCGCGCGAAGCACATTTCCAAGTCAAAATGTTAAAACACTAGGGGTGCGGACCACTTTTGGCACTTGAGTGTGGCGCGAAGCACATTTCCATTCTAGGACCACTTTTGGAAGTTCAGATGTCGAAAAAGTGCACGCCGTTGTGGCGCGAAGCACATTTCCAAGTCAAAAGTGCAAAAAACTGAGGGGTACGGAGCACTTTTGGACGTTCAGATGTCGAAAAAGTGGACGCCGTTGTGGCGAGAAGCACATTTCGAAGTCAAAATGTTGAAAACACCAGGGGTTCGGACCACTTTTGGAGGTTCAGATGTCGCTTCGCTTCGCTTCGCTTCACTACACTACACTACATTACATTACACTACACTCCACGACACTACACTACATTACACTACGCTCCACAACACTAACACTACAACTACACAACTACACTCTACTACACTCCAGTACACTCCACTACACTAAATTACATTGCATCACACTACATTACACTACACTACACTCCGCTACACTACGCTGCACTACATTACACTACACTACCTTCCACTACACTTCACTACATTACACTACGCTACACTCCACTACACTACAACTACAAGTACAACTACACAAGTACACTCCACTACACTCCACTACACTCCACTACACTACAACTACAAGTACAACTACACAAGTACACTCCACTACACTCCACTACACTAAATTACACTACACTACATTACACTACACTACACTCCACTACACTACATTACACTACACTACACCACACTACCTTCCACTACACTTCACTACATTACACTACACTACACTCCACGACATTACAACTACAGCTACGACTTCACAACTACACTCCACTACTGTAAATTACACTACAATACACTACATTACACTACACTACACTACAGTCCACTACATTCCACTACACTACACTACATTACACTGAATGACACTGCACCACAGATAGACAGATAGATAGATAGACAGATAGACAGATAGCAGTCAGACAGATAGACAGATGAAAGAGAGAGAAAGATAGATAGATAGATAGATAGATAGATAGATAGATAGATAGATAGGTACATAGATAGATAGGTAGGTAGGTGGGTAGATAGTCAGAGAAAGAGACAGAAAGAGAGGAGACCTCAAGCACCTTTCGGTCCATCAGTGGCTTCGCTCTGCCATCCCTGAATCACAACAACCAACCTCTCCTATAGGTTTCCTATTATTGAAACTTCCGCCACCGCCTTGTGCGTATTACTGGTATTAATTAGTGCATTGAATCAACGTGTTATCCTCACTAAGATGGGGAAAACATCCCATGCCGCATGCCTCTTTAGTCACCAGCCAATCCACTCGACCACCACCTTAGAAAATGCGGTGCTGGGCCCCATTGTCCTCAAGAAATACAACTGGGCCGTAGGAAACTCCTATTGAAAATCCGTGATTTTCAACATATATCTATGCCTCAAAACTCTGGTGCCCGGATGGATGGTATCCTAAAGTAGTTCCTTTATGGTCTTTATGGATGTTGATTTCTCGAGCTGTGCCTGGGAAATCACCAAGAATTCAAGACCTAGCCGACAGCCGACATGGGGCTGTTACTAGACATTCACCAATACCCTCCGGTCATTTGTCAACAAAATCCAACTTCACGAGGCCAAATGCCAGTGGCGAAGACCAAATTCCAGTGGCGGAGCCGTTGAAGACCCAAATACATCGAAATACCATGAAATAGCAAATTTAAATGGGTATCAATGGGATGAGATACATTCCATAAATGGGCCGACTTACTGACTTATAACTGGTAAAGGCCATAACTGTAGTTCCACTATCAGCTATTTTCAATTATTGGAAAGTAACTATAAATATTAACAATATCAGCATTTATTGTCGGTCAAATCCGCGAATATGTTGGCAAACTCAGCAATTGTGTTTGGTATTGTTTGGTTATCTTGAGTTTCCCCAGATGCAAACATGGGGTTCCTTAAAATTGGACATCCCAAAATCATCTAAAAAAAGTGTCATTTTTCATGTGAAACACATAGTCTTGAGGTACTTCCGTATGGCGTTGGATAATCCCATATCCACTATTCATTCATTCAAGCCCTATTTGCAATGGTTGAATCTTCATGTTGGCTTGTTAATCCGACACTATCTCCGAAATTGATGGTTAGACCTCATGATATCTCCATCATATCCCTGTATCCGCAAAGTGGTTCTATAATAAACCCTAGAATTCACCAAGTGATGTGCGTCAACGTCAACGTTGCTTGGGGGCCTCACCAAGTGATGTGTTCGGTTCATTCTGTTGGTTGTCATTGCTGGTTGGTGGTATACCTACCCCTCTGAAAAATGATGGAGTTCGTCAGTTGTGGTTACTATTCCCAATATATGGAAAGTCATAATCCAGCCATGTTCCAAACCACTGAACCACCAACCAGATTGTAACTTATAACCCCATTCCAGCTGGGCTCCTTATGAATCCTCGTGAAATCCCACTGTGGCTTGAAATCCCAAAATTTCAGCTGGGCTTGTGGCAAGTATTCTCCCATTCACAAAAGCCACTTTATGTTGGCTAAACCGAATGTATCCCTATTCTGTGTTGCTTAAACTATTTGATGGTTGGGAAACTCTAAGTAGCTCCTTGGCTCCCCATTGAATAGGGAATATATAGGGAATATGAATACCCCTAGCTCCTTAGCTCCCTCCTAACCACTGGATTTTTGCGGCTTTTGCACTGAATCCCAGCGTGAGACGTGGGGATGCGGACGGTCAGTTGACGTACCGTCAGCACCACTGTGGCCAAAAAAATCACATAATTAAAAAACAACTAATTTGGGGAGGCGAAGGTATGAGGGGCCCTCCTAACCACTGGATAGTAAATCTCCATAAATCTCCATAAATCCTCATGATTCCCCCGTGCTGGATCAATTTTAATCAATTCAACGAGTAATGGTGAACAACTGCTGGTAAATTTCCGCTACAATCAGCATTTGTGGCATAAACTCCCAGGTTAGAAGTATCCCATTCCATTCTCCCTATTCAATTGACTATTTCGGGGAGTCACCCTCCACATTTCCGACCCACCCACCATCTTGTTGATTACATGACCCATCAACATTCATTCATTTCTCTATAAATATTCATCAACATCCATGACATGAAGTCCCCAAACTCACCATTAAGATCATTAAGTCCCATATGTGTTGGATAAAACCCATTATATCACCATAAACAACTAACCATCCTCGTCATTAGATTTCCATTCATTCATCATAATATCACTATGAAAAATCATTTAAATCCATCATACATCACCATAAAAATACCATCCACATCACCATCCAAACCATGAAATCCTTGAAGAAACTCACCGATGTGGTCCCAGCCACAGCTATGACCACCGGCTTTGGTAGATTTCGCACTTCCACAGCGGTGGAGGTCGGCGGTCACGGCCAAAATCTGCCAGGCGGGCTGGAGGGGGGCAGATTTCATGGGGGTCACTGGGGATTTGATGGAATTTCATAGGGGTTTTATCTGATTTCATGGGATTTTATGGAAATTTGATTGGAATTGATGTGGAATGTTATGGGATTTGATGGGAGATTGATCATATGGCGATTTTATTGTAATTTCATGGGCATTTCCGTGCACTCTTTTGGGATTTTATGGGATCTCATGCGTTTTTTAATCTGATTTAATTAGGTTCTATGCGATTATATGGGCGTTCATAGGATTTTAAGGGATAAGTTATAAGTGTTTTTTTGTGTTCAAAGGGATTTAATGCGTATTATACAATTTTTATGGGATTCCCTAGCATTTCATATAGCATTTCATATTAGATTTTGTTAAGGTTCTTGGATATGCGATAAATTCGGTGATGTTGATGACATTGCATGAAGGTTTCATTCGACTTCGTGGGATTTCAATGGGATTCCAAGAATTTGCATCCTCTGTGCATGGCCCAAGCCATGCTAGTTATGTGACTGTACTGAACTAACCCCATAAAAATGGTTTATGTATATAGAAATAACCAGTTAGAAATAATAGCCATGGCATGCCATGGCCATAACTGTATGCAGAACTGTATTATGTGGTCTAAGAAGTAGATGTCAAAAACATCATAATTCGACTTGTGTGTCTGGATGGCAGCTCTTCGACTTGCCTATTACGGCCAGATCAAGTCATATCAAACAGAATCCCATCTTCAATGTTTCATGATCTATATATAGGACAAACTAATACGTGCAATAAAGGATCAAGACTGAAAACTTATTAGTGCTGGCTTGGGATCTATTCAGTCTAAATCCACAGACAAGATCCCGAGCCAATATCCATATCGTTGGTATCTCCCTATTAATGTTGGGTGTGAATACAGTGTATTGAGTTCTGCTTTCGCTGTGTGATATATATATGTATCATTTCATACCTACAGATATCTAGAATATAATACAGAGAGAGAGAGAGAGAGAGACCTAGATAGACATTGGGTTATCAAATATTGTGGTATATGGGCTTGTCCACTTTTGCAGGATAAAGACAAATATGATATGTGGGTGCCTTCCATAAGCACACAACAAATGTTCCCGCCACATCAATCGATCATGACATCATAGATCATGACGCTTCAGGATTTGAAGAACCCAGATTCTCCTAGATTTACGTCAGCATGTTAAATCTGTCACCTCTACTTTCACCCAATTTATGTAGGCCATGTAGGCACATATCTACCATACCCAAAGGTGGATGTACCTGGCAGTACATCCATCACCAACATCCCCTCAGATCCCTCCCGGCCGTGGCAAGCCAAATGCAAGCGCTGCAACGCATCGCAGGCCAGAGGAAACATGCCACGAGTGCGTAGCAGTTTGGCAATGGCCGTGGGTGCTTTCCGCAAAACAACGGGGATATCACCTAGCCAATTTAGGGGACAACCACTGTCGAATGCAAACAATCTTTGGTATACCTCGACAGTGAAGCTGCTTCTCAACACTTTATGGGTGAAAAAATCAGTTGTATCCGCCATTAAGTCCAAAGAGGTGGCACCTTGATCTACGGCTAGTGATGCCTGGGATCAGGACTTGGACCCCAAAAATGGATCAAAAAACAACGACCTGTTTTTTCCATTTTTTTTGTATGTGGGGATGGGTCAAAACCCTGGTACCTAGTGAACCCCAAAATAGCTGGTAAATGGATGTTCATCCCACTAAAAATGGTATGTATAGGTATTGATCCATAGCCAGATGGTTTTGTCTAGAAATAGCCTCAAAGTTTGATGGCGTGTCGTTGTGATACCCCTCACCATGTCACCGGCGCGCGCAGTCGCACGGAGCCAAAAAATTGCTGGAGCTCCGACGTCAGCTCCGACGCGAGGGATTTTTGATGTGGTTTTTATCATATGTGTCTTACTAAAAATGCAGGTTGGATATAAATCATGTGCAATACTTTTGTTCTGTTTTTTCTATCATATGTAGCTCTATGTAAAAATATTCAGCATTATGAAGCTTCCTCCAACATGTGTATGAGGATATATATATATATATTAGATATTCCCTTGTAAATATCACACGTTTACAGTGTTTCTAAGAACATACGCCATCTTGTCGGACTGGCCAACGAAGAAATGCTATGACCAGTTGGGCACCAAATCAACGCCATCTTTGACACATGGGACTCAAAGTTGAGCTGCACAGGAACTCACACGTGTTTTTTCAGCAATGGCAAAAAACATACCAAATACCCTCTGGTAAACTAACATAGCTATGGAAAATCACTATTTTTAATGGGAAAATCCACTATAAATGGCAATTTTCAATAGCTATGTTAAATTCCCAGAGGGTATCACCAAATGCTTTCCCAAACAGAAATTGCAACATCTGATGTACGAGTGCGTACATTAGCTCGCTCCTCTTCTTGTCCGAGGGATCGAAACCGAACCATAGATGCTTTAAACTGGTGAAATGAATGTATGCCAGTATTGTTTGCTTAGATTTGAATCAAGACTCCTTGATGTTAAAATTCATTTGAAAAAAAACCTTTTATAGATGCTTTACCTGTTGAATAGGACATGTTCCACAAATATGTTCGTTTACCAGAGTGAATTCCCATTGAAAGTCCCCATTCTCCATTGGTTAACGCCCCACTTGGACTCCCTGAGCGCCAGCACTGAGGAAACAAACGACAATTGGCCGCTTCTCCTGTAGGACTGGACGGCCTTCCAAACAAATTCCAGGGAAAATGTGTTTCTATCCCGATAATTCTAATAGTATGACAAGAACATCAAGAATAGCAATAAACATGACAATATACTAACAACAATGATACTTAATGTTGGATCATTCAGGGCTGGTTTCGGGGCTGCTTTACTGGTACTCCTAAGCATCATGGCAGATCTCCTTCTTCCTCTTTCTCTCTCTGCGCAATGGCAATCACCTCGAAAGGAGCCAAAGGTGACAAAGGGAAGACCACGAAGGAGGTAAAACAACAATAAACCACCCCATTGTTGATGGTTTATACCACCTATTGATGGTGATTTGGGGGATGGTTTATTATTGTTTTAACCACATGACCCCAAAATTTGATAGTGCGTAATCCTTTTCGCTAGAGAAATGGCAATTAGGGAGGCAACAGGGTGTCAGACACACCCGCATGTGCATCACCTTGGCTGCTTAAGGAATGCTCCAACATGTTCCCTGCGAGCATTCTGGATTGATTTCCACGGAATTCAATTCCTGACACCCAGGTATTCATTGTCAACACAGCTGTAGACAGCCTTATATACTGCATATATTCATATATATAGGTAATAAATATATATATATATATACATATTGTAAATATACTTAAATATATATATATATAATGTGTATATATATATATACATATTGATTATATAAATAAATATATATATATAGTGTAAATATATCTACACATATTGTACATATATATATAAGTATTCTGTGTATAAGATAGATAGATAGATAGATAGATAGACAGATAGATAGATAGATAGAAAGATAGAAAGACAGATAGATAGATAGATAGACAGATAGATAGATAGATTGATTGATAGATAGATATTGTGTATATATATATACATTGTATATCTTCCTTAAAACGCTCCAAACCGCTACAACCCCTCCAAGTCCACTTCCATGGCTTCTTCTGGGCTTCCAGCGCAGGCAAAAGCTACCCCAAGGCCAGATCCATTGCTGTTTCTGGGCGGTCCAGCGTGCCGTTCGCCAGGCATTCGCAGCCAACGGGCATCCGAAGGCCACTTCAATGGCTTCTTCTGGGCTTCCAGCGGCTTCCAAGCTTGCCGTTTGCCAAGCCTAAAACCCTCCAAACCTCTAAAAAACCCCTAAAAGGCCACTTCAATGGCTTCTTATGGGCTTCCAGCGCACGCAAAAGCCCACATCCATGGCTTTTTATGGGCGTCCAAGCTTGCCAAACCCCTAAAAGGCCACTTCAATGGCTTCTTATGGGCTTCCAGCGCAGGCAAAAGCCCACATCCATGGCTTTTTATGGGCGTCCAAGCTTGCCAAACCCCTAAAAGGCCACTTCAATGGCTTCTTATGGGCTTCCAGCGCAGGCAAAAGCCCACATCCATTGCTTTTTATGGGCGTCCAAGCTTGCCGTTTGCCAGGCCTAAAACGCTCCAAACCCTCCAAACCCTCCAAACCCCTAAAACCCCTAAAAGGCCACTTCAATGGCTTCTTATAGGCTTCCAGCGCCCACATCCATGGCTTTTTATGGGCGTCCAAGCTTGCCGTTTGCCAGGCCTAAAACCCTCCAAACCCCAAACCCCTAAAACCCCTAAAAGGCCACTTCAATGGCTTCTTATAGGCTTCCAGCGCAGGCAAAAGCCCACATCCATGGCTTTTTATGGGCGTCCAAGCTTGCCGTGTGCCAGGCCTAGAACCCTCCATATGGGCTTCCAGCGCAGGCAAAAGCCCACATCCATCACTTTTTATGGGCGTCCAAGCTTGCCGTTTGCCAGGCCTAGAACCCTCCAAACCCCTAAAAAGCCACTTCAATGGCTTCTTATGGGCTTCCAGCGCAGGCAAAAGCCCACATCCATGGCTTTTTATGGGCGTCCAAGCTTGCCGTTTGCCAGGCCTAAAACGCTCCAAACCCTCCAAACCCCTAAAACCCCTAAAAGGCCACTTCAATGGCTTCTCATAGGCTTCCAGCGCCCACATCCATGGCTTTTTATGGGCGTCCAAGCTTGCCGTTTGCCAGGCCTAAAACCCTCCAAACCCCTAAAACTAAAACCCCTAAAAGGCCACTTCAATGGCTTCTTATAGGCTTCCAGCGCCCACATCCATGGCTTTTTATGGGCGTCCAAGCTTGCCGTTTGCCAGGCCTAAAACGCTCCAAACCCTCCAAACCCCTAAAAGGCCACTTCCATGGCTTCTTATAGGCTTCCAGCGCCCACATCCATGGCTTTTTATGGGCGTCCAAGCTTGCCGTTTGCCAGGCCTAGAAACCCTCCAAACCCCTAAAAAGCCACTTCAATGCCTTCTTATGGGCTTCCAGCGCAGGCAAAAGCCCACATCCATGGCTTTTTCTGGGCGTCCAAGCTTGCCGTTTGCCAGGCCTCAAACGCTCCAAACCCTCCAAACCCCCAAACCCCTAAAAGGCCACTTCAATGGCTTCTTATAGGCTTCCAGCGCCCACATCCATGGCTTTTTATGGGCGTCCAAGCTTGCCGTTTGCCAGGCCTAAAACGCTCCAAACCCTCCAAACCCCTAAAACCCCTAAAAGGCCACTTCAATGGCTTCTTATAGGCTTCCAGCGCCCACATCCATGGCTTTTTATGGGCGTCCAAGATTGCCGTTTGCCAGGCCTAAAACGCTCCAAACCCTCCAAACCCCTAAAACCCCTAAAAGGCCACTTCAATGGCTTCCAGCGCCACTTATGGGCGTTCCAGCGCATGGGCTTCCAGCGCATCCATGGCTTTTTATGGGCGTCCAAGCTTGCCGTTTGCCAGGCCTAGAACCCTCCAAACCCGTAAAACCCCTAAAAGGCCACTTCAATGGCTTCTTATGGGCTTCCAGCGCCCACATCCATGGCTTTTTATGGGCGTCCAAGATTGCCGTTTGCCAGGCCTAAAACGCTCCAAACCCTCCAAACCCCTAAAACCCCTAAAAGGCCACTTCAATGGCTTCTTATGGGCTTCCAGCGCAGGCAAAAGCCCACATCCATGGCTTTTTATGGGCGTCCAAGCTTGCCGTTTGCGAGGCCTAAAACCCTCCAAACCCCTAAAACCCCTAAAACCCTAAACCCTAAAACCCCTAAAAGGCCACTTCGGCGGTCCAGCGTGCCATTGGCCAGGCATTCGCAACCAACAGGCATCAGGCATCAGGCGTTCAAGCCTGCCGTTTACTACTTTTTTCCTTCACAACGCCGTCCTTGACAGAAAACTTGTTCCCACACACCGTTCGATGGTCAATTTGCCCTGTCTTCACGTCACTGGCCACATTCCCTTTGCAAGCGGGGCAAACGTACACATACGCTTTTTCCTTCACAACGCCATCCTTCACAGAAAACTTGTTCCCACACAGCGTTCGATGGTCGATTTGCCCTGTCTTCACGTCACTGGCCACATTCCCTTTGCAAGCGGGGCAAACGTAAACATACGCTTTTTCCTGCACAACGCCATCCTGCACAGAAAACTGCTTCCCACACACTGTTCGATGGTCTATTTTCCCTGTCTTCACGTCACTGGCCACATTCCCTTTGCAAGCGGGGCAAACGTAAACATACGCTTTTTCCTGCACAACGCCATAGATGTTACCATACGGGTAATTTCCTTCTTCATCACTTCCCTTCCTCATCACTTCCCATCGTCAGCAATTCCATCGCTTCTCACTTCCCTTCCTCATCACTTCCCATCGCCACCACTTCCCTTCCTCACCACTCCCCTTCATCACCACTTCCCTTCGTCACCACTTCCCTTCCTCACCACTTCCCTTCCTCACCACTTCCCATCGTCGCCACTTCCCGCCATCACTTCCCTTCCTCACCACTCCCCTTCATCACCACTTCCCTTCGTCGCCACTTCCGTAACTCGGAAGTATTGCTTCCCAACTTCCTTTGATTAGATTATGTATTGTTATATTATGCATTGTTATATGATCTACCACCCTTCCTCAAGGTCAATTTCATAGCTTCTTATTCTTTTGTTATGTATTGGTACATTATGTATTGTTATATTACGTATTGTTATATGATCTACCACCCTTCATCATAGTCAATTGCACCAAGTGAGGTGATGTTTAGACACCAAGGATCACTCACCAGTTCACCCACGCGTATCGAGTCGTCACAGCCAGCCACCCCACGTCACCACCGTCCGGTTTTAAGGCCTGGCCTGCGACGTCTCATCGTCCACGGTCCATTGGGTCCATTGATCCGCATTAACTGGCATTTCTGTCTGTCCAGTTGCGAAAATAATGTGAACACATGATATATTATCTATCCATAACATTCAACATATTGAAAAAAAAACATAATTATGAAATACTACAAGTGAGTGGAACCATCCAAGATCAATGTGTTCGACTTTGCTTCCGTCCTCAACTTGACGATAACTGTTTCTGCGGCATCGCAGCCGAAGCGATTTTATCAGTGCTTTGGAAAGGGGCCATGGTGAAAGTCACCCTTAGACATCGATGAAAAAATCGTGAAATATGGATGTGTCTCAAAATAGGGTATATTCCCAATGAAATAGCCATTTAATAGGGATAATGATCATTAACCATTGGGTTTAAGGGTACACTATTTTCAGACACACCCATATTGGTGTGTTTCCCCCCAAAAAAATGATGAAAAATGAATCAAATGAATCAAACGTTGCTCAAGAAACAAACCAAGGCAGATAGTTTTTTGGATTTCAGATGATTGTGCCATTGATATCAGGGATTTCCGTGTCTGTTTATTGAATGTTGTTTTCATGCATACTTTTGGTGCGCCTTTTCCTTGCGAAGACTACGTCTCACGCAAGGGAGGCAAGACACACCATCCCCAAAATATGAAAACAACATTCCATGAACAGCCACGGATATCCCTGATATCAATACATTGCATTCATTGTCCCACAATCTATGTTTACGCTACCTAGACTTTCAAAAACTCTACAATATTTGCACGATTGGTGCGCATGTGGGCCGTTTTGACCTTTCCCCGCCGCTCCGCCCTGAAAAGGGGGTCGGCGGCACCAGGGCGTTAGCCCATTCTATATACATATTGTAAATATACTTAAATATATATATAATGTGTATATATATATACATATTGATTATATAAATAAATATATATATAGTGTATATATATATACACATATTGTACATATATATATATATAAGTATTCTGTGTATAAGATAGATAGATAGATAGATAGATAGATAGATAGATTGATAGATTGATAGATAGATATTGTGTATATATATATATATACATTGTATATCTATATATATATACATTGTATATACATATATTGTATATATATATATATATATTATGTTGCATATATATATATATATTATATATTGTGTATACATATTGTGTATTTATATATTGTATATATATATTGTAAATAAATATATATACAGAATGGTAAATTACGTAATGTATTGTATGTGTATAAATAATCATAATAATATGTTATATATACATTTGTATGTTCTATATGTAAATGTATCATATCATATCATATCATATCATATCATATCATCATATATCATCATATTATGTATGTATGTATGTATGTATGTATGGATGGATGGATGGATGCATGGATGCATGGATGCATGGATGCATGGATGCATGGATGCATGTATGTACGTACGTACGTACGCACGCACGTACGTATGTATCATGGTACTATCTTCATACGACTATTATCATACTATATGTCATGAAAACCACCACATCATTGACCCAGCGGCACCTTGCGCACGTAACGGTAGGTCACTGCCCAATGTGGACCTAACGGTCACCAATTGGCTGCGGGGACCATGCCATGGACCATGCCATGGACCATGCCATGGACCATGCCATGGGAAGCGCCACGGTTCATCACTGTTCATATCCACTTAACGGGAAAATACATGGGAAAACTATGGAAACAAACATGGAAAAAAACATGGAACATACTTAACGGTTCACCACTTTTCATATCACTACTTGTGGATATGAATGGGAAAGAATGGAAAATATAGCTAATGGTCCACTTCAATATCAGGATTGGCTTCAATATCCACATTGGATCAGTTGATGGAAGTTTAATGGCACCAAATTCTGAAACAAACGTTGAGCTTAAATTACCTAACACTTTAGCCTACAACACTATATGTGTTGTTGGCATCCTAACTTGAACAAACAAAACAAAACCAAATATCATCCAAAAAATAAACATAGACCCTGCCAAATCGGGTTTGGAAGAGGAGTTTCCGCTAAACTCAGGGTATTTCATCTGTTTCAAGGATTAACCTATTAATTTTGAGGGGGCGCATCCATTCAATTCAAGTCAAACATTCTCCCATTTGGGATATTTCCTAAGTCATCAAGGTACACCCAAATCATCCCGTGTTACTTCCATTTTGACTTTTTAGATTTTCCATGAAATAGACATCTATTCATCCATATTCACCCATGTTACCTTTATGGAATTTTCCATGAAAAAATGCCATTGACCGTACCCATTTCCTAAGTTTCCAGGCATCTGGATCTCACTTGCTCCAGAATCTCTGTAGCCGTCCAATCCCCCGCCTTGGCCGTCGTATTTGTACAATCCGGCAGGGATGGAACTATGGCTGCATATATATATATATATACTGTATTAACTATACTATATTAAGTTGTGATTAATATATATATATAATTAATGATTTAAATGTGTATATATATAATAGTGATTATCTATAAAATCCCATGAATATCTATATACTGGATAGATAAATATATATATATACACACCTATATATACAAAATGGAAAGGGTGGTTCAACCAACGACCACAACAACAACAACAAAGGGTTTTAGAGGGATATCATGGAGAAATGGGAAGCATAGATCTGGAGAATCCACAATTCAGAAAAATGATGGAAATGTGATCTATTGGTGGATTCTGAACGGATTTATACATCATATATTCGTCGTTAGCGTCACTGTCACAATTTGTGGTGCATCCATCATCCACGAAAAGGTGTGATTTAGCCATGAAAGTCAACCACAAAGTGACTCATGGAAATCAATTTCCCATAGTGTCCAAATCGACCCTGATAAAATTGTGATGTAACATGATGTAACCATCAAATCGTGAAGAATAAGTGATGATTACATAATCACTGATAATGAGACATTTAAAGTATTAGGGATGGATCCGATTATGTAATCTCATTATATGGTATATGGATGATGGTTGTGGCTCGATTCTTGATGGACTATGGAATCGTTGCCTACAAAATTTGAATACAGGCAGCTTCCCATTTAGATGCATGATGTTTATTCCCACATCAAGACTAGGGAAATTACCGTCAAACGCCTGCATTTAGACATGATTTAATTATCAAGACATATCAAAAACCATGGATATGACCATATAAATTGTTCAAAAATTGGCTATTGAAAATGGCCATTTATAGTGAGTTTTCCCATTACAAATGGTGATTTTCCATAGCTATGTTAGTTTACCAGAGGGTACTTCGTGCCAAAATCCAACCTGCGATTTAATCGAGCGGCCCAAGCCTCCCCAGGAGCCCAGGGAAAAAAAACGTCCAGTGGGGTCCCGAGAAATCGCGCCAACTCACTGCAAACAAACATGACCATAACTGTTTATATGGCCATTTTTTGTAATACGAGATATGGCCATTTATAACTTTTATATGGCTATTAAAGTACAGTTATGGCCATTTATTTGTTATAGCTGGTTATTTCAATGGGATTATACATTCTATAAATGGGGTTAGTTCAGTACAAACATAACTGGTATTTCGGGCCATAACTGTATGACTTTTACCGAATCCCCACTTTCTTTGACAATACTGAATCTCACTTTTGGTCTGTAAAACATTGTAAAACTGCAAAACTGATTCAGTATTCTTTGACGTGGTCAACGTAATACATGTCCGTCCCAACTTGATGACCGATTCTGAAGGCCACTAATCAAATGAACAAACTTCAGAATGGAAGTTGCCAGCGTAATCGTGAAAATTGCAATGTTCTTAACTATGAACACTGGGGATTGTTTTGTTTGGTAGTTTCAAAGATACATACATACATGAATTTGTAATATACATTTCTGTATGAAGAATCACAGCATTTTACTGCGCGCCTCTACTACTTGCTATGGATTGCTATGGTATGAACGGCCGGATGCACATCTTTTCAGGACGGGACCTGTTTGAGGGGATTGTGACCAACCATCAAACCATGCCCATGCCATCATGCCGGGTAAGCGCACCTCCAAGATCCCAAATTACTCTAGCTGCGATTTCAGGAAATTTGTATGTATAAACTGTCTATATATATATATATATATAGTATGTGTATATATATATATATGTATATGTGTATATATATAATACATATATATATATATATACATATATATATATATACATTCAATGGGATCAGGACATCAAAGACTGCAACGCAGCGCTTTACTTTTCCTCCAGCCTGTCTTCTGGTCGCTCCCCATTCAGGGGTAAAGGCCTTCTGCCATAATGCGTTGGTTACCCCCAGTTCGTAGGGACCCATCACGGGTGTCGACAACAGCCGCGCGATTCACGCATACACCCGGGTGTAAAACCATGCTCCCACGCATACACCTGGTGTTCCTCATCATCTACGGCGCTACTGCACGTAGGAATCGGCTGCCACCATTGGGTTGGTGACGCCGTGGGTTTGGGAGGGTTGGGACAACAAATTATGCCAACAATCGGTCTTCGACCTTAGAGATTCTCTCTTCAGAGATTCTCCCTGATGTTAGCCATTTTGGGAAATACTTTGAACCAAAATGTAACAGTTGGCATAGATGCATGTCTGACACAATTGAATGAGCAGCATACACCAAACCTGCCCAAGAGCACTATATGCAAATACATTCAATGGGATCAGGACATCAAAGACTGCAACGCAGCGCTTTACTTTTCCTCCAGCCTGTCTTCTGGTCGCTCCCCATTCAGGGGTAAAGGCCTTCTGCCATAATGCGTTGGTTACCCCCAGTTCGTAGGGACCCATCACGGGTGTCGACAACAGCCGCGCGATTCACGCATACACCCAAGGCACTTCTTCCTAATTTTCCCAACGCATTAATTAAAGGTAACTGAAGACTTTGCTGAGGGGGAAAGTTGGTAGCTGCCATAGCTGTGTAACCACTCGGGTGCGATGGCATGTGAAACTATGGTGGATCACAAACGAATCTCTAAGCCCAAAGCGTGAGATGCCGTCACTCCAATTCGACTTACTCTGTACCCATTCAAACCATAGACCGCAATGGAGATGGAAGAGAGCCAGATGAATCATTTGGGCCATGCGCTCCAGGTCTGGATTATCTGATCGACCTCGTACCAAGCTCATTAAGGCAGCAATATTGTCAATATACCATACGCCTGTGGCATAACGGAAAGCATCAGGAAAAGTCACTATGGCCTGAAAAACCATTAATAACTCAAGCTGTGCTATGAGGACATCCTGAGGTCTCCAAAGGCTGAGCACATCCTCAGTGATCACCACTTCGGCTCCACGGCGAACCCAGTGTTTGTCACTCAACAGGAATCCTCCTGAACCAAAACCCTCTTCTTGCGCAGCATCCGAAGCTCCTGTCATGCGAGGGGTTGATAATGGAAAAAGTGACACTATCCTCCTGGGATTCAACCGAAAGATGTCCTCGACTACCTGGAATGCCTGCAACAAGGCGTCAGTCAAGTGGGCTGTGGTATCCAGATATTGCCTATCCTTGATGGCTGCAAGTCCTGCCCTGGCTATCTTGCCGAATGCAGCCTGGTCCAAAAAAGTGACACATCCGTACAGTTTCGCTGAAGTGCCAGCACGAAATGTCCCGTCTCTCCGCGCGGTAGCTATGATGTCCAGAATCTTCTCCTGCAGCCGGGGACGGATCCACAAACGGACTACACCATGTGTTCGAATGCCCTCAAAGTCATGGACTAAACCAAGGAAATCTCCTTGAGAGTTAGGATTCTGCCGTTTGCTTTCAGCAAAAGGGTAACCTAGCAGTTCCATAGCTGTGCACATGCACTGCTGGGCTGCGGCTGCATGACTATTCCAATCTTGGAGGGTACAGTCGTCGTAGTAGAAACTGGCCATCAACCTGAAGCAGCGGCGTAAAATGGCTTGACACAGGTAAGGCAATCTATTAAAAGCAGTGACGGCCAATGGGAGGCCAAACAGCATGGAATAGTACTGCCTGAAAACTGGTCTACCCATCTGGTTGGGATACGTCACAATACATGCTGCATGGTGAGATGTCTGCATGGGAATCTTCCTGTAGGCGTCCGGCAAATCTTCGCCACATGTAACGACATCATCTAGCAGATTACTTTCCCCTGCATGCGAACAGGCTTGTGCTAGGGCTTGGACATGGGCACATGGTTGCAACGCGCTACAGAACTGGAGCTTGTTGGAATCTGCACTCCAGAGACTCTGCCCCCCAGCTGCAGCATCATCAATTACCCGCTTCTTCCCAGAAGCTTGTGTAATGACGAATCTTCTAATCAGCCTATATGATGGAAATCTGCGTTGCAGTTCATCCCATCCGAATTCCTCGGAGCACCATCCATTGGCTTGGTCTTTCCGACCTGCTTCTTCAATTGTCTCCAGCTCGGAGACCCGCAATTGCTTCAGCAAATCCTGGGCGTCCCGCGGTCCTCCTGCAAGTGCATCCTCCAAGGAAACAAATTGAGCAGGTTGGGTGTCCCAGATACCACAAGGCGGACAAAACCCGACGGCTGGGAAGCCATTGAAAAGAGCTTGGCAAAACCCAGTATCAGGCCAATGGATTATAGCAATAAGCAAGGCTACAAGGCTGAAATGAACGCTAGGATTCACGTCTCGCAACACTGGCACTTGCATGCTACGGATGTACTCGGAAATTTCTTGCAACCTATAACTGAGGGCCCGGAGCTGTTCGACAGCAAACTGCCTGGCAGCTGTCAAGCTGCTGAACTCCTGCACCATGCCTTGTGCAGCAAAGGCGATGTCCAAGTCCACTGGCGCTGGGAAATCGAGCGGTCCTCCGTCGGCTTGGACCCTTAGCGATGCAGCGAAATGCTCATCTGGGGCTAAGTTGAACGGCACTACAGGGGGGGCGGCTGTTTTGCGAGCACCAGCACCTGCTTGCTCTGCCATGCCGGCACGAAAAACAACTGTCCCAGTACGGTTGAGCATACTGGATCCTATGGGCCCATCAGCCACTTGTCCATTCTCTGACAACCACATTCGAAAACTCTGGAAAGGCGCTGAATTAATGATGTCTTCCAGCAGAGGCCACTTAACATCCTGAAATGATAACATTGGGAATTGCCCTCGAATGGCTGCCATTGCAGCAGCTTGTGAAAACATCTGCGGCACAGCATGGACTACTCTAACTGCTGCTATCCAGACCCGTCCACTGGTCAGCTGCACTGACCTGTGACCCAATCGCTGGGGCTGTCCCCTGCTATTTGCCTCCAACCACTTGGCAATGATCACGTCAACATGGCAGGTCTCGTTACTGAGGCAGTCACATGCGATCCTGCACCCTGTGAGCCCAGGAAGAAACTGCTCCAATTGGAATTCGTTCCAATGAGCAATAAACTTCATAAGAACTTGAGCGGCGCTTCCATCTCTGCCTTCAACAAAAGGGCTCTCCCATTTGGTAGGGCTAAGCCTGTGTGAAAAATGTCCATGGCCTGCATACACCACATCTTGAGGAAGTTGCCCTGATTCCATGACATCCAAAGCATGCACTCTCTTGGGGAGACCCAAAACTGCTGGTGGGGTCAAACCTAGGGCGACGGCCAGAGGCACCATAGAGTGCTCCCTGAAGGTTGCTGAGTCCCATGACGTCCATTCTCTTCGGTCACCTGAGCATTCAACAGGCGGCAAACGTGAGATGCGCAAGGTTCCAAAACCCCGATTGGCTGCCCAATGGGAACAACAGACTGCAAGGGTAAAAACCAAGCTAGCAGGGTATTCGGCTTCCTCAGCACTTGGGTAACACCAGTCGCCTCGGACTAAGTAAGGCCTCCAGTCGGTCTCATTATGCCAATGACCGCATGTCAGATCAGGCAACACTCTCATCTCTTCTATGTTGTGCCTGATTGTCTGGGCTTTCTTCCGAGCCGCCAGAAAACAACAATTGTCATACAAAAAGTCAAACCACCCACCATACTGTTGCATCCATACCTCATTAGGGTCAACCCAATGTAGACTGCGGCGGGGATTCTCCCTAAACGCTGCCCTGGACTTCAAGTGCATGACATGCTGCACAGCTAGCAGGAAATCACTACAGCTGTTGTCACTGGTAACTCTGTCACGGTCCCTACCTTTCAGGTGCGGCAGTCCTCTCGGAAACTTCTGGGAACGCAGTGGCCGTGGCCCGGCTGATCCTGGCAGGGCAATTTCACGGATGCGACTCTTAGTGCTGCAGTCCATGGCGGCACTGACTGCATGGCATTGTGGCAAAATCTTGGCAACGGCTTTCTGCACGGTGCTGCTGGTGAGATCAAATTCAGGATCGATCAGGATATCTAGCGGTTGCACCACTTTCCAACCAGCCCATTCAAATGCCTTAGCCAGTGGGAACTTCGGCCCACTAAGCATATCTAAAAAGACAGGCAATTCAGGCCCGTTGTCATCCGTGGTACACTGTTCTGACCACTGCTCCATCAAGGAGCGGACATGCAACTGGAATTCATCCAGAGCGCCTTGGGCGTCAGCTGTTTCTGGATTCTCCAGTGGTGAGACGTCACTGAGATGCTCTCAGGCTTTCTGTCGATTCTTGCACTTGGACCCTACATGATTCGGATCGCCACAGACACGGCCGCTCTTCAGGCGATGCGAGCAACGATGTTCACCATTCGCGCAATTCCTGGCCTTCTGGTGGGGGCAGCGTCCTTGGTTCCATGCTTCACATAGCGGAGTTCCATCTCGAAAGGTGGCTGCCAACTTGTTGCCCGACGGCGCAGAGACGGCCGCTGTAGGAGCTCTCGGGGCCACCGCTGGCTCAGGCGGAGCCATGGAAAGTCTTCCAGATTGAGAAGGCAAGAGGGTAGCAGCTGCCCAATGCACATCTCTCTCAGTGTAAATCTGCAGGACGATAGCTCCCAGCTTCTCTGTCCCTGTGGCGTACTTCTGGCACCACAACGCTCGCTCCTGCAAGTCCAGGGATGAAACGTGGGGCAAACGCGCCCTCTCAGGGATCTTCTTCACGGTCTGCACGGCCCGGAAATGGTATTTCCATGCCAAATCCAAAGGGAACTCCACATAGTCACAGGAGTTGGTGGAAGGACCTTCTGCTGCTGTTGGCGCCGGCTGAATTGCTGTCACCCCTGCCATCGCGAGCGCGACCATGTAGATGAACATGTTGTCCAAGTAGGCCCAAACATCTTCAACCGCGACTTCGTCATCTTCGGGATCCTCGCCGACCCAGATTTTGGGGGCGACTTTGCGACGCTTGGTGGTGCCCTGCCGCTGGTTGACTAAGGACTTCACCTGGAACATGTTCAACACTTCAATGTTCTTCTTTTCAAGCGACCTTTTGACTTTGGAGAGCAACTTGTCACTGGGCTGTTGCTCGGGAGGAGGCATCCAGTGATACCGCTTCCAAAAAGATTCCTTCATAGTTGCCAAAGTGGTTGCTGGGAGGCATTCATCCTCCTCCAGCGGGATTCCCTCCACTTGGCTGGCCTCCCGAGCCTTCTCTGCAGTCACTACTGCGGCCCATGCCCTTTTGAGGCGAGCGCCCTCCAGGCGTTCATTCTCGAGCCCCAAGGGCGTGATGAAGGTAGTGACTACATCCTCTTCGTCTTTGCAAAAGAAACGAAACTCACTCAGTGACGTCACCCCTGAGGCGACTATCTTGTCGACAATCTTCTCGTCGAAATTGTACAACTGCTGCAGCTCAACGAACGTAGCACGGGCAGAGGCCATGGTTGAGGCAACCGTCCGAGACTCCCGCGATCTTTGAGCAAAACTTCTCTACCCTTTCCGTGCAACAACAGAGCAGACACTCAGCCTAAATGGGAAACTCAAAACATGTGATCGACCTCAGCTGGGATTGCAAAATGACATCAAAATGGAAGCTTTGTCATTCCGACAAGTCCCTTCCCGGTGAGCATTCAGCTCTCTGTCCTGGTGTGGGTTCTCCACCACGAGGAAAATCAACTCCATTTTCTCTGCTACCTGTACGCAGTCACGGGAGGTCCCAGCTAGCAATGATCTGTGGCACTTCATGCCTATGACTGTCCGGCTACAACACGGGCGTCCAATCAGATCACTCAGAGACTCACGGAACACTGTCAACGCAGGTTGGTCATAATATTGAAGACAAAGATAAAAACTGACAAGAGATTGAACTGCATCTAAAACTAATTCAACAGCTGCTTGCAAACGAAGCCCTGTGCCCTCATCTAAGTTAAGGGTCCAAGCGACCAAGTAGTCCAGCAACAGGTACGGCTCCTGAGCAGCGGCGTCGGATTAGCCTCCTAGGTCATGATACGGAGGGGGATTACTCTGACTTAGAAAAGAAAACTACAGCATACTGTGCCCTCAATGAACAAAGCGCAACATGACAAGAGTGATGACTACTCAAATAGACCCGTTCTGCCACTAACTCATCGCGTTTTTGAACACCGTGCCAAGGTCAACGCGATCGCCAGGAGACTGCTGCATTCTCAAGCTCTCCAAGAGCTCCCGCAGGCATGTGCTTCGCACAACTAGAACAAAAGGGCCGATCATACACCAGTGCTTCCTGCACTGAGTTGGCCAAACTTGTCTGCCCTTTGAACGACGTCTGTGTCCTTTTCCACTGGCAGAGTGGCTTGGGTACTTGGGGATCAAAATTGACAGGTACTAGGTGCCACAGAGCTTTGGGCTGGTCCGCTGAAATAAACTGGAGGGGCACACGGGCATAGTTCGGCGGCAATCGGTCGCCTTCAGCCTTATCATTGGCCCACTTTGTGAATTCTTCCTTTGCCGGCCCCAACATCTTGTGACCCTCAATGGCTCGGAGCCGTCCGATGTGCTTCATTGTCTGGTCCAGGCTCTGCCCTTTCAGGGTGGAGACAACTATGCCGGTAGCAACCGGTGCTCGGTGTACTCCAGCCATGCAGTGCACAAAAATCGATGAATTGTGCTCAAGTGTGGGTTGGAGCAGTGGACGCAGCTCTGCCCAGTCACGATCTCTCTTCTTTGGACTCGAGATCACCCAGTGACGAATGCAGGCGTCTTTGGGGAAGACGGCCCCTTTACCCACTGCTGACTGCGCAAAACAGGTCACGACCAGCCTGACCCGGTGTCTCTCCAACATGGCAAGATCAGCTTCGCCTGGGATTCCCCCAAGGAACACAACCGGGGCGCTCTCCGAAGTACCTTTCCGGTACACTACAGTCGGGGGCTCTGGCCCATCTCCGTGGCCTGGTCTGCTCCAACGCTGCAGTGCCAGACTGTCGAAGAATTCATCTTCGACCTCCGCTGGTTCAGCAGCATCGGCTGCTCCAGGAGAAACTGTCTCGACTGGCAGATGCGGATTCTCTGCAGACTGTAAACCCGCCACAGGCAAAATGGGGACACGGTTTCTGAGTCCTCGAACACGAATCGTGAAAAAACGTTGAGTCAGTGAATTGGCATCAGCCTCGCTTTGGGCCGAGAAAAAAACCGCCTCAGGCTGTTGAAGCATGGCTGAGGCTTTCTCAAAGCTATCCTCCTTCAAAGTGGTGTAGGTGATCTGCGTCATACTGACCCATCGGGTGAAAGGTTCACGCTGTTGGGCTGCAGCAGCCATGAACAAAATAAAAGCTTGTTTGGCAAGGTCACTCTGATACTGCTTCGATCCAGTGTACCGTAAAGGCATCTGACTACGGCTCTGGTCAGGAGCTTTGTCAGTCCAATTACCCAGTGCTACTGTCAACGCTGGATGAAGTTGCACAAGGTGAGCCCATGTCACGGGCACCTGGCGCCAAGATTTGCTGGAAAGCATGCCCAGCTGGTCATCCTCCACAACGCCACGCATCACCAGCTTCACAGTATCAGTAATTGACTTTGCTGTCAGCTTCTTCTTGGTGAGGATGTCGAAACCAATCGCCTCGGCCTGCTCGTCTATCAGATGGCGCTTAAACCATGGCGCGAGGTCAAGGTCAGAGGCTAACGTTCCGGTCGAAATGACCCGAGGCGCGGTCCAAACAAACCCCTGCCTCTGTCCTTTCTGCTTGCCTTTCGGGCAGATGAAGTGCAGTGTTGTACCAGTGCACTTCACAATGCTGGACCTCTGCACGTGCGCCATGCGGACGCAACCTGCAACTTGCAGGTAGGTGACTACCAAAGCCGGTGCAGCTGCTGTGTGACGACGCACAGCATAATCCAGGGCGTCCATCAAGTTGAAAAACATGGCAGGTTCTGCTGTGGGCGCTTGCCGAGCACCAACCCCATGATGCCCTCGGGCTGCTCTAACTCGGCCCACACAAAGGCTGAGGTCCCATGCTACCCGCATGTTATTCTTAATCCACTGCAATGCGGGCAGAGCTCGAGACGGTGCATTGCACGAGCTATACCATCTGCCCAGCTGGCTTGCAGAAAGATGGCTGAGATTCAATCCTTGCTCATCAGCCCAACTGCCCAACTGCAACCATGTCAGCTTGACACGCTGGAGGGTTGCGCCCTCGGTCTGATTCAGCAGCTGGGTGAGCAGCGGTTGCATCGCTGCCGTGACCTGGTCTGCGGTTTCCCCTGCACCTGGCTGGAACCAACTGGCCAATTGCCCAATTTCTTGCAAGAAAGGCCTATACTTCTCCAGGTCAGGCGGTGGCTTCTCCACGGCTCGGACGACACGAGGCGCTGGGCGCTTTCTGGATGTTGACGCTGGTGGTTCCTCCACTGGCTGTGCCTGCCGCACTGCGGGGACAGGGGCGGCCCGGTTCTCCCGTTCCAGGAGGGCGACTAGACTCCTGTCAACTCCCGATGACACTCGGCGACGGACATCCCGCCAAGCGTTGGCGACGAGCTCTCCGGCTTCGGCCTGGGCTTCTCCCATGGTAGAGAAAAAATATGCGAAGTCACCATCGTGAGTAACTCCGTTGACCTGTCGCCAAGCTTTGACCACAGCATCAACATCCATCACTTTGAATTGGCAAAAACAACAAATTATGCCAACAATCGGTCTTCGACCTTAGAGATTCTCTCTTCAGAGATTCTCCCTGATGTTAGCCATTCTGGGAAATACTTTGAACCAAAATGTAACAGTTGGCATAGATGCATGTCTGACACAATTGAATGAGCAGCATACACCAAACCTGCCCAAGAGCACTATATGCAAATATATATATTTGTGGCTTTATCATGCTTTATCTGCAAACGGCCATTCTTCGCTTTAAAAAAGGACTTTCGCGAATCTTTCGCGAACCCCACGTTTATCTTTCGCGGGGTTGCAGCTATCCACTTTTGTGCTGTTGACACACACTCAAACAGCATGCAAATGGTAACTGCATGAGCAATCCAGGAGACAGCCAAGGGTAGATGCCAAGGCCATGTTGGGAAAATTCCACCAGAAAATAGCAAAGTTTCATTGTTTACCACGTTCCCTTGGCTTGCCGCTGCAAAGGTGCAGTGTGGGCTACTGGCTTCCATGGACACCTTCTCTTTCGCCACTGCTTTCGTGCAACTTTCGCGAGACTTTCGCGAAAAATCCTTTGCAAATCAACCGAAAAATCCACACCCTGAACCGTCCGTGAGGGTTCACCTGCTCTTGATTACACTATAGTGCTTGGGTCTATTCTCTGCGTGCCAATAACAATTCAGAAGGTTCTCACTTTACCTAGGAAAATAAGCGATCAAGCCGCTTAAGCAACCTCATCAAAATACACTTTCGCATACTTTCGCCATTTCTTTCACCAAATAAACATGTGTTTTTCGCTAACTCACAAAAAACTTTCGCGGTGTCTCATGTTGGAACCCTGGCGGCCTTGGCAATTAAAAACTCTTACATGGAACCTTAGATCGACTCCCATATATGCTTGTAGGTAAATAAACATACCGCACATAGATGGTATGCCACTTCGGCCATGACTATGGTTCAATGCATCTCTGATTTCAGCAGCTTCTCGTTTTTTGGGAACTAGATGTCCAATATGTTTTTTTCCTACAATGAACATGTTTAACACTTCTTACTTTGCTCAATTCATCTCAATTGCCAAATGTCTCAATATATATATATATATATATATATATTATTTTGGGTAACTTAAGCATTTTTTGTTTTTTGTTTGTTTTTTTTTATGGAGCTTTCCTAAGCCATGGGCCATGGGAGCTACCCCTATCCCAAGCTCCAAGGACCAGGTCCCGGCCTGAAGGATGCGTCGGACCATCCGCTTCAACTGGGACAATTTGGGATGGACCGTGCTGCTGCGATGGCAACTCACACTCCTCCGCGACGAGTCGGAGCATGTCGGAGCTGGTGTGAAGGGAGATATCAACCCGTAGCACCATGAACTACAGCAGAGTGAGTTGTTGCATGTGAGAATATGTTAAAAACATTTAGAAACCAATGGTTCGTTCCCATCATTGGGGTTGCTGAAATATGATCATGAATAGGTCACGAAGATCAAGCAACATGACAGTTTCACTCAAAATGAAGACTCAAGATCTGCTGGCTCGTAACCCCACCCGATTCTTTAAGTAGCTTTCCATCCTGTAAACTAACATAGATGTGGAAAACCCACCATTTGTAGATTTTTTCCCGGTAAACCATGGATTTTCCACATATTCTTGTATGTTTACCCTACGGTAAATGATTGAAATCACCAAGCAGCCGTATATTTTATATACATATAGATCCTCCGCCACCTAGATGGTTCCCCCCTTATATCGAGATGATTGGATCAAGAGACTCTGGCAAATTGCAATCCTTTGCGTTCCTGGACGCGTTGTTCCTTTCTGAA